TTATTATGACAATAACTCTGATAGCTTCAAAAAAATGTCCCCCGCATATAAACATACACGCTCATTTCCGCTCTACAAAACATCTTTTCACTGCTCATAAACGATGGCGAAAGCGACAAAAAAATATATGTTCACTTGATATCCGCACGAACAAACATTATGACGTTGTGTTTGCATCTTTTGCATTTATCCACGCGATGACAATGCTTAAACAGTGAAATCATCATTTGTTTGTGCATCGCCAGGCAAACAAACAAATAATGAAAAATTCCAAATATAATGACAAACAAAAACAACAATTCCTTGGGATATATATGGAAAGAGAAAGGAAATAAGAGCGTGAGTGCATTCGCGAACCATACTTTTGTTGAGCACTGTTTTTAAGTGCTTTCTAGTTAAATTGATTTTCGTATTTTCATTCCTGCTTGAAGACTTGTCCTCTTCTTCAATGTATGGTTTTTTTCGTCTTTTTTTTTCACCAATCGGAAATGCAATTTTCGACTTTCATGTTTTCATCAGCTGTATAGTTGAGAGTTCACAAGTCTCAAGAAATTGCTTTCTATTTGCTTTGCCATTGAAATTCGAATCGTTAGGATGCCACTTACATTCAAAATAAAGTATTTTGATTTCAAGTCACGAAAGACACTCTTGAATAAATGCAAATTTTAATAAGTTGATTTTAAGTTAATGGGCGAGAACATTTACAAATTGCATTGTAAATGATATAAATTCAAGCACGTAATTCATTTTAAAGCCTCTAGTTAAATACAAAAAAAGGAAAAATCAATTTTTGGTTAGAAAAAAGTGGCCGAATTAGATGTCATTGGTATGTTTCCGTTTGTGTCCTCAACATTGAACAGTGATCAAAAGATTTTGTATCATTCCAATGCCAGAACACTAGATTTGAAGCAAAAACTGACTTGAGGTACAGTAACCTTTCCAACCTAGACATCTTTGGTCACTTCAATATATATGCGATTCGAAATCATAATATATTTAAATCAAGAAATTCGTCGCCTAGCGAATTATATCGTTTTCATAAATGAAAAATGTAGTCCATTCTATTTGTACGTGAGAATGAAAAGAACCACTATACTTAGCAGAGCAAGAAGAATATCTATAGCCACTTATGTTAATATGAAATGAACGTTGTGAAAACATAATCAACAAAGAAAAAGAACGAGATAAAGAATTTTTGATCTCACAAACACTACTGGTTTCAGTTCAAAATCCTTTAGAATAAAAAGAGATAGATATCGCAGACACTGTACACATCCCTCTTTCCAGTTCATGTGGTGCATACAAACACAAGCCAATGAATTGAATGTAAACAAAAATGGTTTTGACAAAGAAAGCATTGATTTTATGCTTTTAACACATTAGTATCAAGTGTCTTTTCAATCAGTTCACAAGTTTGACGTTTTTGTTTGTCAGAATATTCGTTGACTCAATGAAAGCAAAAAATATGGTAATACTACAATTTTGCATCGAAACAAACAAAATGAAATTGCAAATTAGTCAACTCACTTGTGTCATAAATCATCAGAGATGCGACATTTTCAAAAAAAAAAAGCCATTTATTTCACTTGTGTCACCATCAACACTCAGAAATTTGATTTTAATGCAAAAATAATTAAGTTTAATTAAGAATGCGTGAGAAATATAAAATCGAGACAATTGTATTCCAAAATCTAATTTAAATTAATTTCAAATGAATACACACGGTTTCGAAATGCGAAGCCAATTCGAGTGCATTCAAACAAATGATAATTTCTATCATTCATGAACATTAACAAACTTTTTCAATTTTTGCTGCCATTAGTCGACATGTTTTTCTTTATTTCGCAGACGATTGTGCAAAATTTGTTTCAATAAAAAAATAAATAAACAAAAAAAAATGTTGAAAGATGTCGCCAAATCTGATTTCGCTTCAAAAGTGCTCTGCTCTTTTCTCCTGATTTTCTGATCTCTTTTTATAAATCCAAACGTGCGTATGTATATCGTTCTGTATTTTTACTCAAGTGTATTTTGACTTCTTTTCGTTTGTTTGCTTTACTTCATTACTGATTCCAAGAACTCTGGCTGATCTACATGTGATGTTACAATATGTACATTTAATATTCGATGCAGAGTAAGAACGAGACAAACATTTTCCAATCTCCTAAAGACGGACTTCCATTCAAAATAACAACAGAAAGAGAAAGATACAATGTTTACCTTTCAGTGACTTCGTTCTATGTACTTGCACATACAAGCCAAAGTTTAATACAAACAAAAATGTTTTTGACAACGATTTTATCCTATGGACGGATTATTTTCTAAAAAGTCAACGTCAATCGGACTACATATAACATACGAATTGAATAATTTCAACGAAAGTAGCAGAAACATTGCCATAGATTAAATTTCAAGAGCATTAGAATCGTGACGAGACGGCCAAATAAAAAAAATTGCATTTTATGAGTAAAAATAAAATGTACATCGTGCAGAAAATTGTGTATATCACAAGTAAAAGCATATAAATTGAGTTTGTCGTGTGCGTGATAAAGTTTCAGAAATAAAAGACACAACGAAAATGTAACAAAATATACAAAATAATGAGACACTGTACGAAAATATGGTGAATTTATTAGTTTTTCCTCTTGTGCACACCAAATTAAATTTTTTCGTTACTAACGCCGGTTTGAATTGTTTTTTTTTTTTTTTTCACCGACATTGTTCGTAGAAATTCTCCCGAAAAGACGAAACGAAGAATTGGTGAGCAGAAAGTGAAAAGCAGCAACAAACGATCCATGATTTGAGAGCGGGACATGCAAAAACACGACTTTTGTCTGTAGATCCATGTGTGTGTGGCAGTTGTTCCATTGAGATTTTGCCCGCTGAGTTCGTTTATGCTGCGATTGTTGTCTAAGCTAGTTATGTTTGAATTTGCATCAATGGGACTTACCATGATTGTTGTTGATATGGTATATACATTGCTGAAAAGCATACATGCTATACGCGCGCGTTCATTGCGATATCGTCAAGTATAATTGTTTTGTTTCAATTTCAATACCTTTTTTTTCGCGGATCCATTTCGGTGTGTGTGTATGTTTTTTGTTGTTTTGTTCACGTTGCATTTATGCTTCATTTTACTCTCTATCTGCTTGTTTTTCTTTTGCCCGCCGAAATTATCTTAGATTTGGCATATTATTCGCTTGATTTTTTCTTCTTTCTCGTACACGATTTTTCATCGTGTATATTTTCCATTGTGCGACGTAACATCGCGTAGTGACGGCATTTACCGATGCTAATCATACGATTACAAACGATATATTAGCGAATGAAGATATATTCAATATTTTCCACTCATTTGAATTTGATTTGACTTCATCGAGTTTGTGCACGGCTTTTGTTGTTGCTTTTTTTCGTTCATCGTTTTTGTATTCGATGTCAGTGAAATGCTTCATCATTCGAGATATGCCGACGAGTGTTTTTCTTCACTCTCAAACGTGTACTTATTTAATTTATTTCATTTGTGCAATTCGATTTAGGCAATTTTCAATTGGCTGTTATATGTGTTCCGATCACAATTCAGTACAGTTTTTTTTCCACTTGGAATCGTGAAAGTCAGCGAAAACGATGTTTTTGTGTCTATCTCGGTTCCATTCGATGTGGAAAGAGATAATCTGGGTATTGATAAAATATATACATAAATAAAAATAGTTGCACGCGCACACGACACCACAGTATATTTTCGAAAATAAAAACAAGAAAAAAATAGCCGTACGGCGTACACTTATGTGAGCACTTAGCATTTATAAACGGTCCTTATCGTGTGCGCCTCATCAATTTCACATCGTGGCGTGAATTTCAGTTTTGAATGACATTTTAATTTATGGTAGCGAACTTTAGTCGCCGCTGCGCAATTCGATGGAAAACTTGAATTATACATCCAAATGGAAAAACATCTTGAGTAACCATGGCTCTTTTTTTGTTGTTGTTTGGTGTCGTTCGTCTCCTCTTCAAAGAATGCGAAATAGTAACTTCTTGACCGCAATGTGCAAACAACGAGATTTCCTTATCACATCCCTGCAGCAGTAGTTGATTGTTTTATTGTCGCTCTGCAAGAGATGTTTTATAACTTGGTTCGAATTATAAAGTCATAAAAGCCACATAACTTACCTATATATAGATGTGTGTCTGTTTGTTAGGTATGGCTACTTGAAAACAGAAATCCCATTTAAAATGCAAGCTCAAACGTCACGACTGTGCCGACGATGAGACACCAACTCATTGTGATGCTCAATTCTCAACTCAACGAGTAGCGTACGCTGAATTCGAAATTATAGAAAAAAAAGAGAAGAAACAAATAACACGATGACGCTTTACAATAGAAAAGAACCTTTTTTTTGCTGTTTTCTATTTCACGAATCGAATTTGCATACTTGTTCAGCATAGCCAGATGATGAAAAAAAAACATTGCTAACTTCGTGCTTCTGAATCTAAATAAGAAAAATGGTCAAGCACATTTTCACTGGTATCATATTCAATCTAAATACAATCATCATTACAACGATACGAAAATATTGATTATGGTAAATTTATTCAGTGAAAAATCTATCAGCTGTTTGACTCAAACAGTTTGAGTTTTCAAAACTTAATTAAAAAGTGAGAAACAACGGAAATTTGATGGGTTTACAGAATCTTCGGCATAAATTCTGATCGACCGCCTTTTTTACAACTCTGGAGTTCGATGAACCAATACTTTGAATGATGAGTGAACTAAATCGATGTGACGCTTGTTTTTTTGGTGATAAAAGCCTGTTTTTGACTTTTTCATCCAATTCGACGCAAAAGTTTAATGAACTTTACCGAATTTACTGATTAATTGGTTTTATTTGCATAATTTTTGCCATTCGACCGCGTTTTTGTGTGGGAATTTATTTTTCTATCTGTTAACTTTTTTTTTGAATGTTTGTTTTTCTAATTTGTTTTCTTTCTTTTTATTTTCTGTACAGAAATGGCGCTTTGTGATTGTCCAGTTGGGGCGCCCATAGGGCCGACCTTGGCGTCAACTTGTGGCGGCGGTCCATTCATGCTATTTATGGGTTTATTAGAAGTATTTTTACGTTCACAATGTGACTTGGAAGATCCATGCAATCGACCCAAAGTAAGCGAATAAATACCAAGTTTTGCGATAAATGTAAAAAGTTCTTTTTTCGTGTCATTCAATAAATTCTCTATCTGCTATAGACTCGCTCGGTTCCTGATAATGAGTATGACTTCATAGTTGTCGGAGGTGGTAGTGGTGGAAGTGTGATTGCATCAAGATTATCGGAGGTACCACATTGGCGAGTTTTACTTATCGAAGCAGGTTTGTATACAAAAATAATAATCGACAACTTTTTTGATTGTATCCATACCCACAAGTTTAAATGGATGATGATGCCAAATTACGTTTTTGTAAACAAAAGCGTAATTATTAGGAAAAAACGAGAGATTATTAAGCGACACCTTTGTTGTTGATGAAAAAAATTAGTTTAATAGAAATTATAAAAAGAAACACCCAAAACATGACAAAACCTTACACAAAAGTGTAGTCACCAGAACGAAAATCGGATAACTGCAAAATTCAGCAAATCAGTTGGCACTAATCTTCGTGCAAATTCCTGTAATACGCTGTAATTTATTCTCCATCTATTGATTTTTTCTTCTATTTTCCATCAAATTGGCATATCGTGCAGAAATGCATGCAGTTGCTTGTAATTTTCTATATTCTGCGCATCGGTGTCACGCTAAATCCAGGCAAATGTCTCAAACGAACAACCAATGCAAGAGAGAGAGAAAAAAAACCAAGCAAAAACGAAGCTCACGAATGATATTGTCACGTTCAACCGGCGACATTGATCGTTGCACATTGATAATGTTGACATGAAAAATCATTTGGAAAAGATAACCGAAAAACCACCGATTCACAGACATTTATTATTAAATTTTATTTGAGATTTAGTTGGTTACGCATTATTGCGGTTTCAGGCCATGGTTCATTTTACGGTTCAACGATCAGCGTCCAACAAATGCTCCTACATTTTCATTTTTTTTCTCTATTCCCTCTCTTGCTCTCGCCGTCATCGTCAATGAGAACAAGACCTTCTGACCAAACTATTGATGAAATTCGCATAAGAAATAACATCGAACCGAATTCACAGTATTAAGTCGATGCTTTTTGAAATTACAAAATAAATTCAATGGGTTCAATGATTCAAGCCATTAAATTTTATTGAAAGTAAATTTGCTTCTAAACATTCGATGTCTGCCGTCGCTTAATGAACCGTGCCACAATGTAATTTGCAACGAAAGTTTTGCTCGTCGTTTGATAAAATTTTGTTTGAAAGGGGCACCAAAATTGAAATTGCACGAAGCAATGGATCCACAATGTATCCGATGTGAATGGAGTGCCAAAAATCTCATCCACGACTAGACCGATTTGATGGCATCAATTAATCATTAACAATGATGTAGAAATCGCGTTAAACGACTCAATTATTTCTGACGATGGCTAGAAATGAGGTCTCATTGAGATAAGTGATTATAAAATATCAATTTTTTTTTTGGTAAACGCAACACACTGATGCATTGTCATAGCAAGAAGAGAATGTATGAAATTGTTGAAACAATGATGTGAACGATTCACGCGGTCGGTCGTTGCGTGTGCCTACTCTCTCTCACTGTCTCACACCAGTTGCGGCTAATTTCATTCATTGCGTTATTGGCTTTGAAAATTGTGTAACAAATGAGTTTCGCATCGTGAACGTGTGCGGGAGAGTGAGAGCACACAGAAATTAATTAGACATCCATTTTACAAGTAGATTAATATTTTAACGTACATCGTCAGCAAAATGTTAGCGAAAAATTAACGTTTTTTTTTTCACTTGAATTTTGTGCAAGCATCATACGACAACCATGGAGCTCATGTATTGAATGCCACGGTGACGAATTTAAACTTAATAAATCTTCCATTTATCCGCGTTCAGCAACACAAACCATGCGATATAATTGAATATTATCCACTGTATGCAAATCGATGGCAAAATTGATGGAAACATAATCCCACAAAGCACGGAACAAAAAATCCAATTTCAACTAATTCGATTTAAAGTCAATAATTTAATAACAGCCATATTCAATTTGTACCCAAATGGGAGCCGCATGGAGTGATTTCTTTTCAATAGTTAGCTGCTGCTGTTTTCCTGGTTGTGCATACTACGCAGAACCGTTTGCATTCAATCGAATGCTTCGAAGGTCATCTGGATAAGAAATACATTTATTCCGCCTTAAAAGTGCCTCAAGATTAAATTTATCAAATATTATTGAAGTCAATTACTTCATGCAATTACAATTTAACTGTTGTACCGTACAGCGAAACGCGTTGCAGTGCATTTGAACGAAATGCAAATGTGACGTGCATTTTTCGGTAAATTTCACAATAAAAAAAGAGTAAATAGTAATAAAAACCAATTTGAAAATTTGTGTAATCGCTATTCTATTTTAGCCATCGTACATATAATTGGCAATCATGTTAGCGGAACAACCGAAAATCTATTTTAATTGCTCTCTGCGCTCAATATAATTACACTTTAACTATGTAAACAAACTTTTATGCACGAACAATGAACAAATGTTTTACCCGCGGCACATTTTATAACAAAACTTCCAACACAGCCGGTTTTGTCTATTTGCCTGTGAGAATGTGTGTCTGTGTCTATGAAATAATAAATTAACGTGGAACTTAATCCCGAACCACTTATTATTTCGTTTACTGACCAAATTGGTTGAATCATAATGGTTTCTTCTCTCTTTTTTCCTACAAAATGAAGAGTAATCATTTCATGTTGTTGATTTTTTTTTTTGGTGAATTTTTTTTCCGATTTCAAATTAACGGATTGCATCTGTTTGTTTTGTTTGATACAGGGGGCGACGAACCGCTTGGTGCCCAGATTCCGTCGATGTTTTTAAATTATATTGGTAGCGAGATCGATTGGAAATTCAATACGGAGCCAGAGAAAAAAGCTTGTCTATCATCACCGGAACAACGATGCTATTGGCCGCGAGGTAAAGTTCTCGGTGGCACATCGGTTATGAATGGCATGATGTACATCCGAGGCAACAAAGAAGACTATGACGATTGGGAAGCAATGGGCAATCCAGGATGGAGCTATGATGACATTTTACCATTTTTCTTGAAATCAGAAGATAATCTACAATTGAACGAAGTTGACCCGCAGTATCATCGTGTTGGCGGTATGTTACCGGTTTCAAAGCCACCATACAATCCACCCTTGTCTTTTGCAATGCTTAGAGGCGCCGCTGAATTAGGTAATTTGAAGTGATTTTTGTTTGAATGTCCAAATGTATGAATTTAACATTATTTCTTTTTGTCGTACACAGGCTATGACATCCACGATTTGAATGGTGCTAATTCGACTGGTTTTATGATCGCGCAATTAACAACCAAAAATGGTGTTCGTATGAGTGCAGCTCGTGCTTTCGTTCGACCGGTAATCGATCGACCAAATTTACATGTTATGCTGAATACAACTGTAACCAAAGTGCTTGTACATTTAAAATCGAAGAATGCTCAAGGCGTTGAAATCGTCGATGCTGATGGTCATACAACAAAAATTTTGGCGAAAAAAGAGGTGATCGTTTCGGGTGGAGCGGTTAATTCACCGCAGATTTTAATGCTCAGTGGCATTGGACCCAGAGAAGAATTGACACGAGTAAGTATTTCTTTCGTTAATCAATCGTCAATTTTCAAATGACTGACGTTTTGTTTTTCATCATTAAATTTAGGTTGGAATTCGTCCAATCGTCGATTTGCAAGGTGTTGGCAAAAATCTTCACAACCACGTCGCATTCTTCACGAATTTCTTGATCAATGACACCGACACATCGCCATTAAATTGGGCCACCGCAATGGAGTATTTGTTGTTCCGTGATGGCTTAATGTCTGGCACAGGCATTTCTGCTGTTACTGGAAAAATTTCAAGTAAATACGCTGAACCAGCTGGTGTGCCTGATCTTCAGTTCTACTTTGCTGGATTTTTGGCAAGCTGTGCAAAATCGGGCCAAGTAGGAGAATTGTTGTCAAATGGTTCTAGAGCTATTCAAATGTTCCCGGCTGTTTTACATCCAAAGAGTCGCGGTTATGTCACACTTCATTCATCGGATCCATTGGCACCACCGAAAATTGTCGCCAACTATCTTGATGAAGAGCATGATTTACGTGTTCTCATTGAAGGCATTAAATTTGCAATTCGTTTGTCGGAAACAGATGCACTGAAAGCATATGGCATGCAATTGGACACAAAACCAATTCCAGCTTGTGAACACATTCACTTCGGTAGTGATCAATATTGGGAGTGTGCTGTTAGACAAAACACTGGCCCGGAAAATCATCAGGCCGGCTCATGCAAAATGGGTCCGTTGAGAGATCCATTGGCTGTTGTCGATCATGAGCTACGTGTTCATGGTGTACGCAGTTTGCGTGTTGTGGACGCCTCTGTTATGCCAAAAGTAACATCAGGCAACACAAACGCCCCTATTATAGCAATAGCCGAAAAAGCTGCACAACTGATTCGACGCGCATGGGGAGGTCGCTAGTACGATGTTAAGCATTTAAAATAGAATCTAATAATTCGTTTTATATTACCATGGTGACAAATACAAAAAAAAAATAGATTTCCTTCAGATAAATTTTGATCCGTTTATAAATTGAAAATCAGAAAAGAGAACATTCGAATGTACGAGAAGATTTTTTTTTTTAATTTAAAAGACAAAAATAAATTTAAGAGAAAGAAACACTAAACAAAACTATTTGTTTTTTTTTTTATAAATAATGTTGGTGTGACACAGAAGAAAAATGAAAAAGTTATACTATAGCCTGAAATATTTGCATTATTTTTCCTTTCACCAATGTTTCAGTTAATATTTTTATGTTTCGCCAAATGTTTTTGTTTCGCCAAAGATTTTATCTGCACAGAAAAAATCCTACGAGTGAGAATTGGTCAAACGACTTTCGTCGTACAACATACATTGCATTAATCCAACATGCAAAAAAGTGACAAAGATAAAAAAATCATCAAAAATTCGCCATATTTTTTCCAAGTCAAACAAAAGTATTATGTCTCATAATCAATGTAACTTTAGGTTGTTTTTAAAAGTTTTCTGAAAATGTGAAACTCATTTGGAAAAAGTCTTTTGCATCGATAAACACCACAACGACTATATTTTGTCAATGCAATTTGTTGGCTTGAATGTGATTCCATTACATCAGTACTCAAACTGAATAACATCAGCTTCTGCATCACTTGAGAGGAAGCAAAGTTTGTTTGCATATAAATATCTTATTTTAAATGTGTTTTGACTGTGTGTCGTCGAATCCAATTTCGCAATGCAAAATATAAGATACAACGAAACATTTTAAATATTTTTGACATTTTTCCTATCAATATTGTTTCCGTTCATAAGGTTGCACGAGAAAAAGCCACAGTTATTCTTTAAAATGATTCCGGTGAATTTTATATAAAATATTTTATGAAAAGTGTGCGTCAAAGGATCAACTTCAAGTAAAAATGGAATGGCAGCGATGATAATGGTCGAAAAGTATAAAACATCATAAAAGCTACTGATGTATGTCGGATGCGTAGTAGATTCTATCGATTTTGTGTTTTGAAAATTCAATGCGTATAATAAATGCATGAAGTCGTGTAAATGTAAAAGAATTAACGTAACTACGAAACAATAAAGAGAAAAGGAAAGCAGACACCTCTTGTTATAGCTGGAAACGACTCGACACTGTACTATTTTACTGTTCTTTGGCTGGAAAAAGTGTTATGTTTTCCAACCATTTCTTCAGCTGATATCGAATTTGTTTGTATAGGAGCCAAAAATTGCGAGCATAATGTTCTTAACATGGTAACAAAAACCATAAAATTATGGCTAAATTTAATTGAAAAGCAATATAATGCTCTCAGGCTGTATACAAGCGCAATAAGAGAACCAAAACCGACTTCGCAGCAACGAAAACACAAGCAACAACTTTGAGGGAATTTGTGTTTGTTCTTTACATGTTGAATTTTCCAACAACAACAATAATAATATTGAAGTAATTTTGTTGAAAAACTTTAGATACTTTACATTCAACGACTGTGAAAAACATACTTTCTACTTAAAAACACGGTAAAATTTATTATTTTCCCTCTTTCTCACTATTTGTACAGCGGAAGCATTCTTTGTCGAAGCAGCTCGAGTCTTTCGTGCGCCATAAAAGGGGAGAAAAATGAATCGCCGAAAATGTGTTGCAATGACAAGAAACGGAAGAAATAAAAGCACTAATTCACTTAAAAATGTGTAATATTTCTTGAAATCAGCTGAGCGACGCCACTGTTAAAATGGTAACCGCATTGTTATTTGAAATGAATAGATAAATATTGCGGAAGGGAATAATTTCGCTTCATATGAATCACCGAAACTGGTCAAAATGTCACGACTAATAAAATTACATGACGAACGATATAAACTTGACAATGAAAGCATTGAGAGTATATCCGCTTCGTGTTCAATATTTGTTGAATGGAGGCACACACTTTTGTTATGAAATGAGTCAAAATTGTCCAGTAAAATGTATTACCTTAAAAAATTAATTTCGATTTGCGCACAAATCTGTATCACGAAAGGCAATCAATGTGCCATTTTGGCTATTTATCTAATGACAGTTCATGTGGCATTGCTATTGTAATGCAATCAACGATATCAGAATTGCAGCCGTATAAATAGAACGTCAGTATGCAGGCAGCTTGTAATTCAATAGTTGAATCGCAGTGGTTCGCTACATTATTAAGTGATTAAAAACTTGGCGTTTTGTGCGATTTGAATATCCGAAAACGTGAAATCGAAAATAATGACGTCGACAAAGTTCTTCATCGGATTGGTAATTGTATTATTTTCGGGTTGTGCACAATGTTGTTTCGCAGCCGATACTGAGCAACAACCAGCAGCTCCGGCAGTTAAAATGGTTGACAAGACAGCGGTTGATCAGCTCGATCAAATGGCCATTATGCAACATTGTAACGAATCGTTTCGTACTACAATGGGTTTGTTATTACATTCGTTTTCCATTTAACCATTGCAATGTTGAAGTAAAATTCACGCAACACCATTCATATCCACAGAATATCTCGAAGACTTGAACAGCACCGGATCGTTTCCCGACGAAACCGATAAAACACCAATGGTAAACCGAGTTTGAAAGTTTTATGATTGCTTTAAACTTAAATTGAAATCTTTTCGACGTTCACCTTTCTTTGTTCGCAACTTTGGACAGTGCTACATTAGATGTTACTTGGATGCGGTCGGAATTTTGAAGGATGATGAATTAAATCTTGAAAGGGCTAATGAAATGCAATGGTCGACATGCGAAGAAACCATACCCGAATGCCAGAAAGAAGTTGCAGGTAAATGTATCGCTATGAATTTCAATTTGTGGTTGTGCTATGTATTTTTGTTAATACCAAATCTGTTTTGCATAATAATTTCAGATCGGACAAATCCATGTGAAAAAGCCTATTTCCTTACACGATGTGTTATGATGCGGAACATCGTTGACATGCGAATCACAAATGAATAAAGCCAACACCAATAATTTATCATAAGTTTTTGCTCAAAATAGCTCATTGAAAATGCTGTGCAATATTCTGTAAGATTCGTAGACTATTTGGTGATCGGGTTCAATAAAATGTCAATTCATTAGTTGTGGGTTTTTAAAAAAAAAAGAAAACCAAAAAACGATGGGTTAAAATTGCAATAAATGGTTACAAAAAAGTACTTGTATTTGTTTAATGTAAACTGTAAAGATTTTCATTGAAATTTCAACCCATTTTTTTCGCACAATTTTCAAATGGGCACACCAATATAAAATGTGTATAGTTCAAGTTGAATTGATGGCATACGAATCATTCTGACATGCCATTTATTTTGTACTGTTCTCATTTCCCAGCCACTCAATATATAGTAAATAGCATTTTTTCCCCATTCAGTCTGTCTCTGTGTCAGTCTGCCCGAGTCTGCCTGTGGATGTTTGTGTGAATGGAAAAACAGTGCAGTGCATGAGATGGTTTTCAATCAAAAATCAATTTAATGAGTACGTCGAGTAGCGTTCTTTTTTTTTTCTTCTCTCTCTCTCTCTCGTCTCAACCGGAAATGAATTGTCGCTTTAACTTGATACATTTCATGGAAATGTACAGCAATGCACATTATCCGATGAATAAAAAGAGCGATTGTTGTCCAAACAATACAAATCATTTTCACATGGTTACTTATCAAAAACATTTTGGCAGCTATAAATTTCAGCAGTCATTTCATTGCCATATATAATAAATGCCAGCAATTGAAAGTGATGTAGTCTGTTTGAAAAACGAGCATCGATCCACCACACCACCGTCACCACTAGTTCTATAAGCATGGGTTTAACTCACAAAATTGCTATTATAATTTATGTTTTGGTGTTTATCTTTGCCAAACTATTTTACTGTATCGATGTGAATCATACAACTGTAACCATGACACCATCGGTTTTGAACGAGAGCACAAATAGTACCAACACAACCGAAACCAATTCGTTTAACAACCAAACAACAAAATTAGATAGTAGCACTATCCAACCACAACTTGAACACGGTGACGCTATGCAAATTTGCAACGAAACTAATCCAACACCAAAAGGTACCGTATTTTATGAATGCTTCCAAGACAGTACAAAATACACACCTTTTCCAACAAAAAAGGCAGGAAAATGCATTGATTTTGTGAACGATTGCTTATTCAAATGGATTCGTATTTAACATAGTTTTGTTTATTTATTTGCTGTTGTGATATGTTTGCCATTACTTTGCGGGAATGATACTGAAATGTAAATCCACTCAACAGAATCTCTAATTGAACTAAATTTAACAGGAACATTAAGTGATGAAATTGATTTGATATCAACAGTAAGTAAAATTTGATGAAACTATTTTTGGTATTATTGGTAGAGGTAAAATGCATCTACTTTTGTTTGGAAAGAGAAAGAGAGCGGTGAATTGAGAAAATCCATTGAAATGTGCATTTTCGTTCCAGTGTTTTATCAGGTGTTACCTTGATAAAATGGGAATTCTAAAAACTGACATTCTCGACCGTGAACGAGCCATGGATTTGGAGTTGGCTCGAAATGAAGACATTCTTGATGATTGCTCAAAGGAGTCACGAGGTATGCAACAGCTATGCAAAGTATGCAATAAATAAAAAATCCATTTCACATTGGTTTTATTTTATTTATATTTGTAAATATATTTTATAGATGAGAAGGATATGTGTATGCGTGCTTATTTCTTTCTTCGTTGTGTTGTCATTTGGAATTTAATATACGATGATGCCAAATAGAGTTTGTAGGAATATTTTTGTGAATAAAGTGTATTTCATTCTACTTTAGATTTATTTTCAATTCGATCCAACGCCAAGCATATCCATAATCAAATCGGTTGTGGTTGCATTTTTAGACGTTTTTCGTTTGCATTGGTACATATTATTCAGTTTTTGTATATCCTTTTGTGAAAATCCATCTCTTTGTCCAATATTCGCTTTATTCTACAAAAAAAAAACCAAAAAAACAATGGTGTAAAAATCTCACAAACCACTATAATCCATTTTCAAACCGACAAAAAATATGTTTGTGTTGAAAAGCATTGGTAAAAAAATCACCAGTACCTTTGTGCGAATGGTTGGCTGTCCATTGTTTGAAAATGCATTTGCTGAATAGTGCATAACACTGTTATAGTCATATCCCACTCCTTGGCCGGACGTAGTGCCTTTTTGTGCTTTTATGAAATTCCCTTCGTATCCTCGCATTATATTTGGATAAATAACGTCAATGTAGCTGTCACGTTCCTCACGATTTTGTTCATGTAAAAAACCAGCTGTATATGGAACATTTCAAGTATTATTTGTCGACGATTGGAATACATTCAAAACACTTTACCTGTGTGCATAAATTCATGTAAAACTGTTCCCACCTTTGTTGTGCATGCGGGTGATTGTAAATTCACCGTTTGTTGGCCACCAACTCTGCCCACACTGGACCAGCAGCCATTTGCTGAATTTTGTATTGTGATGTAATCACGATCCTTGGCACTTCTACGTTGAAATTTTATGCAGGTTTGCTTGTGATAGACATTCATCGCATTTTCAATGGTGTTCAATGAACGTGGATCAAATGAGCCAGCAATCTCATAGGGAATTACAGCGTTTGACCAACGATACGATTGACCAACCATACCGTTTCGTGAATTGGTCGAGTGATTCATTGGGAATAAAATATCACCCTCTAAATACGAGCCGAGCTCTTCGGGATTCGATTCATCGGTTGGTTTCCAATTTTTTACCGCTTCGCCTGTTTTTGCATCGGGATGTGCAAATTTTAATCCATATGTCGATAGATCGATTATATTGGTGTCGTCATCGGCGGTCGGTAAACCACAAATTGCATGGTAAATCGAACTGATTAGAAAAAAATGCACAACTTGGATGGTGGTTCGCGGTTGCATTGTTAATAAACCAGAAAACACAAAACAAAACTAGCACACAAATGTTTTAAATGCAAAAGCGGTATGAGCTTTGGGTTAAATTAGAGTGAATGCTTTACAACTTGTACAATTGCGCAATGAAGTAACTCTAACAGTTGGTGAGTCTATTTATTTGTCGGCAAAATGCTTTGGCTTTTTATCACAAAATGCACAACGGTTATTGCATTCATAAATCAGCGACAAACCGTCTGATACCTAATCAGTTGCTCCGAAGCGGAAAATGCAAACCAGGCCCTTTGACTCACAAACACACACATACACACTCATGAGCGCAGTAAACGAAACTAGACCAAATGCATTTTGGTTTATTTCATTTTAATTAGGGTAAAAGATTGCTTTGTACAATGTGACGCACAGCAGGAGGTCGACATCAAATTCATTCACAAAATAAAACCACTTCAATTTTGTATCAAACGAAAATGTCGGACAATCATTTGACCTCACAAACTTGCAAACATGATATAAACTCATTTTGGTGCATGCATTAATATAGAGGTTCACTTCGTCTACTGATTTAATGCGTATAAATTTCGAAAATAGAACTCGCACTATTTTACCTTTGAAACACTACAGAGCGGGCAACAACGATATGAAATCCATTGAAGTTTATTATTACGCCGTAGGTTAGGCAATCGAAAACGCCGATTGCTTTCACATGCTTTTGTGAAGATGACACCAAAGCAGGTGCATAGAATTGTCTGTTAACTCGCATGGGAGATTTTGAATTGAGCAACAACAACAGAAATGTGGCAAATTGCTTCAAGTCTTAACCCCAAAGCGCTTCTCAATCGAGCTTATCATAAGTAATTTGCTGCATGAAAGCATAATTTTATTGTCACATTGGCTATTGATAACAGGTCACGCCATTTCCACACGATTTCCCATTGGACTCACGGGCTATATAAAGCCATGCATTTGCAATGGGAATTCAATTTGATTTCAATTTTGCCAGTAAATCAATCTCAAGTGAAAATGTCCAAAGCAGTATTTGTTGTAGTTGTTGCTTTCATTGTTGCATTGCTTGTGAGCAAAGGTGTGATATTTCTTTCATACAATCAAAAAGAGTGTGAATATAACAATAAAATTTCGTTCATTTACAGATGCAATGTCAGCTCCACAGTTTAGTTATTCGGGTGGAAATGGAACCTCTTTAAGCAGCGGTGGCATCAATAATTCGTCATCAAATGTGCCAGGGTCGGGTTATGCGTGAGTGATTTAATTTTGTGAACTAATTTAAAAATCTAAATTCTACCATTTTTATAAAAGCGGCGAATACTATGGAAATCATTCAAATGAAACGGCACCCACTTCTCCCTCCATGTCGGGGAGCCAACTGAGCGGAGCACAAAATTCTACGTCGGACTTAGGAAACAACTGTGACTGCAACAATATTCAAAACGTACAAGAAATGGCACCAACCGATAATCCGTCATCGGGCGGAGATGGTGATAGTCCAGCCGGCGGCGAAGGCGGACCATCGGATGCAGCAAGCGCTGCTTCAAGTGCTGCAAGTAGCTCGGGCTCAAAAAAGTAACAACGTTCCTTTTGAGCCTGTCTTTATCAATTTTCGATGTTTACTTCAAACGGCTTTTGATCACATAAAATGAAATATTAATTAAGTTCTATAACTTTTCTTTGCTTAAATAAATTTACCACTTATATGGTCTACAAATGAAATAAACTAAGACTTTAATTGAAATGAAAATCTCATAAACTTATCCATGGCATATACATCAATAGCACAAGTTCGTTAACGAGATTCGGGCGAAATTTTACACTTATCATTTGCCCCGCAAATTGATTTAATTTTTGAAATACAAAATCAATTTCCTTCTTGAAAACTAACTTCAATGAAGAGAACTTCAATTTTCAGCATAACGAGATATGGAGTTTATATCCATAGCTGGGCAGACTGAAAAATCCTGGGGGGATTGGGGGGGTAATTTTCTCAAAAACTCCTAGCAAAATAGGAAAATTTCATCTATAAAACCCTAGCAAAATGAGAAAAATTCTATCCAAAATCATGAATTTTGTAAAGGGGTAACGTAAAAATTTGATGATTTTGTAAAGGGGCAACGCCAAAACTTGATGTCTCAGGAGGGAATAATACCCCACTCCCCCCTGTCTGCCCAGCAATGTTTATATCTCAACAACTCGGTAGTCAAGTCACAACAAATGATAAAAGGGTACACACAAAGTATTGTCGATGGAAAATATTCAATTTATAAAGGAGCTTTGTACTTGAAATAGAACCATTCTTTGAAATGACCACTTAATACGGATAAAATAGAAAATGTCATTTAGATGATTTTGCTCAATCTCGTGTTCCCATCTTCTTTGAAAACTGTTATCAACTTATAATGTTATGTTTTTCTATGGATAAATTCTTCTGAAAATTCCGTTGAAAATGGAAGAAAGGGATATAACGCTACTTTGCACCTAATCAAGTGGAAACATACAAAGCAAAGAAGATCTTTGTATAATCAGCCATTGAATGTGGTTGGAATATTCTTTGAATACATATTTCGTTTCGTTGAATAGCATGCAAATGGTAAAATTTTAGTGATTTTATTTACATTTTACGAGAATGTTATCTATTTTTTTAAAGTTTCATTTTAAGCACAAAATGTAAATTATTGTTGTTACAAAAGCAATTCAGGTCACACGAGCATGGCTTATCACTGGTAATTTTCTGCATGAAAACTTAATAATTGCGTCAATTTTAAAGCATACGCTTCTTAATTCTATGTCGAACAACCATACTGTTCGCTATATAAGTGGGAATTTTTGCGGTAAAATGTTGAAATGCTGGAACAAACTTTACCGAAACATGTACAGTGCACTTTTTGTATTCAGTCTCATTGTGGCTGTTACCGTTCTGGTCACCAGAGGTTTGTTTCAATGTGACTCTTTTCGTTTACATTTTTTTCGCACAGCAATCAACTTTTTATGGCTTCAACTTTATTTAGATGCAATGTCAAGCCCGCAGATTGGAGCGCAGTTTGGTGAAATTCACAACAATGGAACTGGCGGAGGCAACGGCGCCAGTTTAACACCTTACGAACCTGGCAATAGTTCATCGTCCATTGCTGGCTCTGGATACCCGTAAGTGCTTTACAATTTTTTTAATACTTTTTTTTAAACAATGATATTCTCGATGAAAATAGTGCACAAATACAGACATTATATTGAGATATTTTCAGGCAGATATCGTTGGGCGCTGAAATGGTGTGAAAACAATAGAAGTGATTATAATTAACTTACATTGCTACAATCACTTTTATTGTTTTCACACCATTTCAGCTCCTGACGATATCTGGCTGAGCTGATTCATCTGGGTGAAAATATTTCAATATAATGTCTGATTAATTTTCACTGATGTTGTTTTAAACTCATTAAACTCAAATGTCTGCACAAATTTTGAATGACAAAAGATTTCGCTCATGGTCAGTGTGAATTGTCGCAGAATTTGTATGAATAATTTTTTACAAAAATTAAATTTTATTCCTTTTTATTCGTATACGGAATTAAATAATGACATTTTCTTTCAGTGAATTTTATTCAAGTCATGCAAATGACAGTTCGCCAACATCTCCGTCAATGAGCGGTGGTTCCATGGATCTACAAAATTCCACGTGGGCTTCATCAGGATGTGATTGCAGTCAAGTATCGAATGCACAAGATATTACTCCAAGCAATGCCCCAACCGATAATTCAAGCGACGGCTCTACTGCCAACGATGCTGTCAATTCGGCATCGAGTTCTTCAAGCAGTTAATATTTCGAAAAGTAAATTCGCTTTCACAACAATTCTAGCAAATAATTCAAACTTTCGTAAAATTGTTTTAGTTTTTATCAACAATTGATTTTTGGCACCTTCCTAAATTTCAGTGGCAAGTTATACTTTATATTTTAATCATGATAATAAACATTTTAATTTCGCTTGATTCATGTATTAATAATAATTTATTTACGGTAAAGACAATCAAAAGATAAAAAAGAGTAAATTGAAAATGAATTCATAGCGAACTGAAAACGGCTCTGAGACATAAGTTCCAGACAGACAAAATAAGACAGACAGACAAATTGTCCGTAAAAACTGTCAATTGGAGTCTTTCTATCATGCACCTTATATATATATTATATTTGTGGTCGTACGCCAGAAAAACATATATTTTATTAGAATTATGGAATGGATGGTTTGAAGTTTTAGGGTTTTTCAAAGACGTTGGTTATGACATTAGCAAATATCGCCCCAGAGCTTGCGGCTGAGATTAAGAATAATCCGTTTTCTGATAAATATGTAGCCACAAAGTATTCTCCACTTTAATAAGTGTAACCAATCCAACAAGAAATTCAATAAAGTATGTTATCTCCAAGTAAGATCAGAGAAAATAAAAGCATTTTTACTTCTTACGCATAGAAATTATTCGATTACTTGAACATTCAATTTAAAAAAGAAGAATATTTGACTGTTCAAGAGCACGAACTGTTCTTATTCGCTTCTGTTCTTTCGTGAATTTGGCGGACAAGTACAACGAACTCACACTGCCGAAACAATGAACTTTTTTAATTAATAAAATTGAATATGTTTGGTGAACGCTCCATAAAATTCCTGATTATAAATGTTTATTTGTCCTCAAAAGTCGCAATAAAAAAAACCATCATAATTTGATTTTCAAGAAAAAGTTCATTTATTTATTAATATCAGAAAAAAAAGAAATTTGTTTAGAAGACCTTATTTTACATTTCATTCGTACTCTGATTTAAGAGTTTCACGACAAAAAAAAATACATTCATTAGCAGCACAAATGAAGCAATGCAATTAGCATACATTCGTGACTCTTTCTATCGATACCAATATCACAATAAAGCAGGTTAACATTGTCTGTTTCATGTCAAATATACACTTAGCCCAGAGTGGAAAAATTAAAAAACAAAAATATCTAAACATGGATGCCACACCCGAGACGGGAAACCAACAATTTTGATTGCTATATAATTAGGTTAAAATGTGCAAAACTAAAGTGGTTGAATACTTTAATAGAGTGTGATGTGGTTCACGTTATTTTCAATATGGTGCAGCAGAAATTGAAAAAATCGAAAACAAGTGTAAATGTTGAGTATTTTTTTTTTAGCAAATTTTATTTTTTTTATCGATTTTTTTTTTGTTTTATTTGTGAGAGTTGTGCAAATGGTGCTAACAAATAATTAAATCACCGCTAAAAACTAAACAATTAAATATTGACATAAACAAAAGAGAAATCATAAAACAATGAAAAGAGAGAAGTCGAACGGGTTTCTTTATCTAATGGTCTCATTTTGATTGTGCCTTTTGGTATTTCATTTGTTTCTTTTTTTGGTGCGTTTTATGGTGATTGCATTGGTAAATCACTTGAAACGATAAATTACAATAAAATTCTAACAAACGGTGAGCTATTAAATTGGCGACAGATGTGCCATTTTTTATGGTATTTCTTCGTGTTGCACAGAGAAATACACTCTGTATATTATTGGAAATGGAAAAGAAGTTTAGATTTTTTTTTGGTTTAGCCAGTAGAACAGAAGACAGCATAGAGGGATAGGAGGAGATAGTGTAAGAATTAAAAACAATTTAGCCATTAAAATAAAATAAATGATAAAACTAATAAAAAATTTAAATAAAACCATGATCGCGAATGATTGAATTGCAATTGTGTTGAATTGAAACGAAAATTTAAATTTCTAATTCATTCAAAAGAATGTGTGAAGTAGTCGGCAGTGGTGATTTTGTTTCTAGTCGATGGTCAATTTACGGAAAGTTCCGTCCATGCCAAACAAATCGTCGGCAGTCTTTGGTGATCCCGGTCGCAATGCTTCGTTTGCTTTTTTATCTTCTTGCTCCTTGAACCATGGAGTGTATTCACGGAGTTTTAGGCGCCATTGTTCTGCAAACATAACATTATTAACATTTCGTTTGTTTTTTTTTTTGAATGAAATTCGATTTAGTTTAAAACGTACCAGTCAATTCTTCTACAGTACCAGCATCACCGCCGTATTCTTTTGGTAACATCTTTTGGGGCACGAATTTGTATAACGAATCCAAGGTGCTGTGGAAATGAATACGCTGACGAATCTTCTCCTTCAAGAATGGACGCACAAAGTTGATGATGGTATCAACGATCGGTGATACATTCACAATATGCACCTCCTTCAATTTAACTGGATAAGCTTCCTATTGATGATGAAAACATTCATTTAATTTAATTGCTAAATTGCTCGAATTTTTTATGGTAAAATTTTTACTTACTTGGACACAGATCAAGAACTTCTTAACCATGGCTGGTGAAACTTTTGAAAAATGTCCGGGCGTAGCAACAGATGCGTCCAAAATGTAAACATCACCGGCAACACCAACTTGTTCTTCCTTCAAACGAATATCGCCAGCCATTAAAACTAATTTCATGCAGTCATTAATGTTTGGTGTCGCCATATCTTTGCTAACACCACGCAAAACACATACACGACGACCGTTTGGAGTCAAACCTGGTAGAATTGGACCTTGCCTAAACATAATATGAAAAAAAACATCAATTTTGAATTCCATTCGAAGAACAAGTATCAAAAAAAAAACTTACACAACTTTGAAAATTTCAGTCAACTCAGGACGATCGACATCACGATTGGCAAAAAACTCTGGGACAGCATTACGCATGGTATAGTACATGTCCAACTTCTTCTTCACCTTTTCCAAACTGAATTTGCAGCCACGCAAAAATGTGCGAAGACGTGCATCGTCTTTGTTAAAATGAAATTTATCGAATTGAATTAGTGGGAATGTTGAAAAAGCAATCGGTCATTCAACTTACCCATATCTTTTGGCAAATGTGGTTGAAGTTCCAACCATTCACGAATGGCAGCCACATCCTTTTCAATGGCTTCAGGATTTTCTGGTTCACGAAGCTCTTGGCGAATGAAAACGCGCATATCGGGTGTTGGTTGAACGAGATTCATCTGAAAATGAAGCAGAAAAAACGAATTTCAATATATTTGTCCAACGGCAAAAAGTGAGTCAATCAACTTGTATTATATTTTGTTCAATGATAAAAAAAGAGACTCATAACAGTAGTTATTTTATATAATATTCAACACAAATACATTCGAGGTCAATGAGATTATGAAACAGCACTTTTACACAGCACTATGCCAATAGATGTTTTACCACTTAATTGAATTTATCGTAGTATTGAAAATTTCTACAATAAGCGTCTTTAGTCTCTGCAAAATCGATTCAAACGTCTAGAAAGATCAACGAAAACGTTTCTGAATTGAAAACAAACAAAAAATGTGGTTCTTTTTTTGTACAACCCAATTTGTGTGCAAGCACAACAAGCCAACTGCTTCTTCGACGAGAACCATTTAAATGCCAAGCTAATGCATGATTTCATAATTTCGAACGAATATTGCATCGTACGACGAGTCATGCAACGAATCATTTAATTGCATTTTATTTATCCGCAACAATCACTTAAACTTGTATCTCTTTGGCTTCATAAATGTATACAACGTTTTCTTCATTCTCGGTCAGAGCGGACTTTTAAACGTATAAATTTAGTTTTAAGCAAGGAAAAAAAACCGGAAAACTTGTTTTATTTCTCATTGAAACTATTTTATTGTGTACGATCGCCGATTTATAAAATTCCACACGAAAAAACTGGCACGAATGATTCAAACTAAACTGAAATTCTACGAAACTGAAGTGCTTAAAGCAGAGAAAAACTAAGCAAAAATAACTTCAACAAAAACTTACGTTTGATAGTTTTGATTTTTAAAAATGAACTTTAAAATTACAACAGAAACGGTCTATGATTGAAATAGCGTTTGATCGCGTTGAGTGAGAAATGTGAACGAACTATCGTTGTTAAAATCTGGTGGCGTACTGAATCCAGTTCATAAGAACTTATGCGAATGGCATGAAGATATAGTCCGCTAAAAATGCTGAGTGGTGTGAGAGATGCGATTTATTTACCAGTTTTTTTTTTTTGTTTTTGCTTTATTGTTTGCTTTAACTTTTATTTCCCCATTCCCGTATTTTACACGGTCGTTCTCCTACCACTCAGCAAACAACAAACCCATACAACTGAGTCAAGATCGATGTGCTTAACCAGTGAAGCCGATCGTACACGCACACATGTTCACTTTCACTTTTGATTCGAATGCGATCGCGCACCAAGTGAAGTGAATCGAGTTTCATGGTAGTTGTGTTATGTCTTCGAATACACTATGTTTTCAGTTTTCTGGGTCGTCGTTGGAATAACATAGATTTTTGTACATGTTGCTCTTGTCAATGCTGCTGCCATCGACAAGATATGCTTGTTGATGATTTATCAACATTAATTCGGTTTAGCTACTCTTTTTCGTGCAACAAAAGCGATTTGTGCGACGTTCGCGATCCACTCAAATCGTATGCTTGTCGTTTTATGAACAAAACACGTCAAACAAGTTACAATGCATATAGTCACAGCATTGATGCGAAAACATACAACAACAACAAAAAGACGTAAACAATTGTGGCCGAGTAGAAGAAAAAAAACCATGAAGCTATATGTGTTTTTTATCAGTGATTTTTTTCTGTACGTTGAGTAATCATAATTATGTTCGCATTACTATTGTTCGCTCATTAAAATTTTTATACACCAAATATAGAATGCATTTATGGTGGTTTTTTTCGCTTGAATAAAAAAGTGGCACAACTACTTCATGGTCTTGAAATGCAATTGAATGAAATTCATTATTTCGCAGACAAAGAAATATAATAAGCCGTTTTTTATGAGTGACTCGATTTATTTTTATTTTTGGAAATGGACTCGAAAAATTGGGAGGCACAACGGTAACGATAAAAAAATGATGAATGAAGCACAATATTCTTTGGTTTTGCATCAAACGATGGTATTTAAAATCCTATTTTAAAACATGAATTTTGTGAATATTTGTTAAAAATATTCAACGACGCAGGAAATATAATATGTTGATGATGGCACGATCTTTTTTTTTTTTTGAAAGAAAAAGGTCGTAGAAATAATATTTGCATCAAATATAGACACATTGTTGATCGAGTCAAAAGAAACACCAATGTTAAACGGAAAAGAAAATAAATCGATCGTTTGTGTAAATATGTTTTAATAACCTTTGAATATAGAGATTCAGTTTCGGTCATTCGCTCTCGACGGCACATGGATACAACGACCATGGAACAACGCGAAATTGTGCGACGATCAAATGTTTTGTTATCACACAAGTCGTGCTTCATGTTAAATACACATCATTAATTCTAACTTTATTTGTTGTACACGTTTATTTGACGATTCACAGTCTGTATTTATTCAGAAAGAGCTTAAAGTATCAAATCGTTTCAGAAATCCATGGTTTTTCTTAGAAATCATTTTGCCATGAAATCTAGCGTAAAAATTCAATTTCTTACATTTATTAAATCGGACATTTATCGGAAGTCATTATTGCGCAACTCTATTTTCAAAACCTAAAATCCTATCTGTGAACAAGAAACCTTTCATTATGATATTTGGAATCGAAAATTGGACTTTCGAACTGAAACAATGAGTCGGAATTTCTTCAAATGAACATTAATTTTTCTTAGAAAATAACCATGTTTATCATCATCGTTGTAATACATTTATTAAAGCACCTGAATTGCCTAAAGTTGGTAGTCAACAGGAAATGGTCGAAAAAGTTTCACAAATGAAATTACTCGTATTTTTTTACTCGCTTGAGTGAAATCATCGTTGTGAAGTAAAAGAATTCATCGGCTGAGACTGAAAAAATGAATGCTGAAGGTCGAATTCATGCGGCAATACTCAATATCGGCTTTTTTTTTTCTAGATAAAAGGCCTGAATAAAGTAAATGGCAAAGAGAAACTCATCAGTTTTTGCGATGTTGTAATATTTTACTGTTCTTTCTGTTGCCACACAAGCTACGTCGCTTGTAGCAGACGACCGATCGATGTACGCTTATTTGGACAGTAAACAATGGTTAAGCAAGTTCCGAAGCTCATGCGGTATAGTAAATGGTTGCTAAACATTATTTGTTTTCGTGTTTGTGTGCGTAAATTTATCGAGCAAATAGAATCTGTTTGAAACGGCAATGTGGTCGACGTTGCATTAAGGTGCATTATTCATGTAATCAGCTGTGTAATACAAAGCAATGTCGCAACGTCTTAATTTATGTTCCTAAACCGCATTTCGGTCTTAATAATTTCTTCACCGGTAAAAACTGTGGCAAAAAAAGCCCAGAGAAAAAAAACACACACACTTAATTGAAAAAAAAGCGTTGCCATTTCAATGCCATGCCCCATTTATTACGATGTGTGCGTGTGGCTGGTGTTTTGTCTTGGGCGAATTTAAAAAGTACTGTTTTAGCGGAAAAAAGGGAAAACTTTTGCAGACATGTTGAGCACGCCATAAACGAAGTGCTTAGCGGTTTTTATTTTATGATGATTAAAACATATGATGATTGCCAACAACGAAAATGTTCGTTTAGCACATTTGCCAACGTAATATCGTCGTTTAACAACAATACGGTGTTTATACACACGTCCGACGTTTAATGCCAAAAAAAACACCAAGTGAATGAGTGTATATGTGCATACCGTGTGCAATGATGTTTGCGTTTCTAAGCGTCGTGTCAGTGACACGAAATCATAAATAAATATGCATGTATATAAAACTCATCATAAATACCATTTATTCCATAATATCGAAAATAACCTCAATTCTTACCATCTATTGCTTTCGCATTGCAATTCTCATCAAAATAATTGCAATGTAAGCGTCTGCATGCAATAAAACTGTCTTGACAATATGATTCATTGTGCTCGCTCACAAAATGAGTCATAACAATCGATTGGATACAACGAAATGCAAACACCACTGTTGTATACACATAAAAGATAAACAATTCAAATTTGCACAGAGACCGACATATTATGTAACTCTATCATTTTCAATGATTATGAATTGTGATTTGATTGAAAAGTTTCATTCCTCAAAACTATTCTCTCTCTCTACCTCTCTCCTACTTTGCAATTAGAAAGTTTCACACTTTTTTGAAATTGCATGTACGTCTCACTAAAACCAACTGTCATTACTTTATTCGGTTTTGTTTGCATTCGAATTTAATCATTATTATTTTGTCTGGTTTTGCTCTAAAACTATTGCGAATCGACCATAGTGTGGCCCATTGACAGGTTTATAAACTGATGTAAACAAAACTTTTCTCCTATTTGTTTATGTGAGAGTCAATGTGTTGAATGAAACGACCCTTTTGCGGTTTGTGTTGATTTCAATTGCACTATGCTTTCGTCTGGGGATTTGGCCAATTCTCATCAGAGGGATAACTTTGAGCATCTTATAAGCCGATCAATTTTTTTGGGCTGACCGAAGCAATGGCTGAATAAAGTGTTTTCAATTTTCAACGCTTTTGTTAACAATACAAACCATATACGGCTGTATAGCGTTGCCTGCAGTTTGGTGTGCGTGCAATCTTCGGGCCGAAGTTTTAGTGGTTAAATGAAATAATATAACTGATACTTTCAAAACTGATGAAAACAATGATTTTCATCTATACCACAAAACCAATGCCACCACTTTTTCACATTGAAATCAACTGTCCGAATGAACAATGAAACGGTCGAATAGCTAAGCAGATTTGACAGATGAACAATCTTTTAGCATTTGAAGCAACAATGAAATGGCTCACAATCGCATTGCGTAGGTATTCGATGTTTTTTTTTTTTTTAAATAAAACTCAAAATGTGGGAATGAAATGAGATTTTCATTTGCTTGAGTTTTGCACATAAAAAACCTCTACATTCCATTCAGGGCTCACTTTAAATTAAGGCATGTGGTTTTATGTTTGTACAGCAAAATGTTGGTTTTATAAAGATAGAAAATTGTGTGTGCTTTGTTCTATTAAAACGGCACATGGAAAGAAGCATGCA